TTTTTGTAATATGCTTTCTATATCCTTTTAAATTCTGTAAAATCTGTGGTAATGTCTCCTAGATCTTGATATTGTAATTTTAAAAATATATAATTCATATTGTGTAATAGGAAGTAAAGATCTAAAGGAACAGGGTAAGTGGGATGGGTAGGGGAAAGGAAAGAAGGGAAAAGAAAAAATATGAGAAAAGGAAAATAATGGAAACAGTCTTTGCAAATAGGAAAGGGTCGAGGAGGTGAAGGCAGGGCAGGGGAAAAATAAGAACCAAGATACTCTTGTAATGGTACAAGATCCCAATGATTTATGTAACTGTATTTTATACCTAAAATGTACCAATACACTTAATGGTGGGGGGGGAGAAAAAAGAAATGCTAACCTGATTTGTTCTCGTGTCATCAAAGTCAACACTGAAGGAATGGCCACTGTTCCTGATGATTCCAGCTGAGCTGGGGTCATACTTGATACTAAGAGGTTGGAGGGAAGAGTTGTATTTCACTTCTTTGGTTTTAATCTCAATGGGAGATTGCTGATCACCATCAGCAACAGGGAAAAATTTATTCCAGTGAATAGGACCTTGAAAATATAAGACCAAGAAAAAAAGACTAAGTTATTTCATGCAACAAAAACTTAAGTTTACTGCACTGCACTGTTTTTAAGATTGAAGGAAACAAAGATTAATAAAATAAAATACTCATTCTCAGGAAAAAACAATTGAAAAGTATATCTAATAGACTCACATATAAAAGGAATACTCAAGAGTAAAAAGTCTTCTAAAAGCTCTACTAAACTGAATTCATAGTCAAGGCACTGTCTCTTAAGTGGTCAAAAACCTGAAGAAAAGAAGAAAATGTAAAGTAAGGTAATCTATTGAGAGATATTTTTAGATTTATTCACAAAGGGTTTCATTTCTAAAAAAATTTGAATTTCCATATTGTATTGTAAGACTTAGTTTTAGATTATTAACTGTAAAAATATCACCCCTGGTACATGGTAAAAACCATATCTAGGGAATACATTTTAAAGTTTTAAAAATATTTTTGTCTTAAAATCTATTAAATGCACAGGTAGAGTTCAGATTAAATTACTATTCTAACTTGAAATGATTATCTTCTCCCTATTTCACTATGTTTTTAGTATAGACTTCTGGATCTTGAGACTGTCATGTGTAGGTCTAGATTGTAACACCATAGGAAAAATGTAAGATGGAAATATGGTTCAGAAAAAATATGCTATTTGAGACGGGTGTGCTAGTAGAAGAATCAATTTTTGATATTTGTAATAATGTGTACCTAAATAGGTTATATCACATAAAAGCCATACTAAACCTACAATCTAGGAATTTGATATTAAACTACTTTATGGACTGATTGTTTATGTTCCCCTCAGAATTCATATTTTGAAAGCCTAAAGAATGTAATGGGTTAGTAAGTAGAAACTTTGCTCATTGGTGGAGCTAGATGAATCTATGGTATATGAATATGGACTAAGGGTGTGTGAATATGGAGTAAGGGTGTGATAATAGGATTAATCCACTGACTGGTCTAACATTGTTCTGGGTGTGGGTAATGGGAAGGCCTACTGTGTGTGTGGGTGGCACCAACCAATAGGCTTGCAGCCTGAATGGAATATAAAGGGGGTAAAAAGAAGACAATCTTGCTGTTGCTTACAGGCTCCTGTCCACCCTGCCATGAACTGTTTCTCCTCTACTATGCCTCTCTCCCATGCTGCCCTGCCTTGGAGCCAGCGGACTAAAGAGAAACCTCTACAAACTGTGAGATAAAATAAACCTTTCTTTCTTGTACTTTGGGTGTCAAATATTTTGTCCCAGCAATGAGATAAGTAAGGAAAACATCAACCATGCTAGCACCCTGATATTGCACTTTCATTTTACAGAACTGTAAGAAATATTTATTTCTTTATTTGTAAGTCACCAACTCTCGTAGAGCAACCCAGAGTGACTACAACATCAAACTTTCACAAAAACTTACTGTATAAAGACATTTGAGACTTTTTTGAATATAGGAAATTAAAATTGTTGTACGTATTTGCCATAGTCTACCTTAAGATTTACTTCTCTCAGAAATTAGATTTAGCATTGCTCCTGAAACCTAACATGTTTTAGAAATGCTGGTATTATTCACTTGCCATTAAAGATGGAAACAAATTTAATGACCTTGGAACACTGCCAAGGAATAGAGGAGGCAATGACCAGGTAGGGATGTCTAAACAGTTTGGGCAAGAGGCACTATTTTTTGTGAGGAATATTAACAAAAAAATCTGTATTAATTCTACGTACATAATAAGGAAATAATACAAGGGAACATTATGTCAATAAATGAGACAGATTAGATAAAATAGATTTACCAATTTATCATGAAAATTGTAACTAATCCACACCAGCATGTAATAAATAATATCTGAATAGCTTTGTAACTGTAAAATAAATACAATTTATTCTAAAATGTTTATCTACAAATAAACTATAGACATCAATAATTTAATTGCTAAATTATAACTTAAATTAATTATTTGCAGAAGAAATGAAAGGAATGAAAAGGAGATTTCAAATTATTTCTTAAGGCAAGAATAAATTTTCTAAAACACATGATAAAATCTTGAACAAAATATCAAAAAATTCATGTAAAATATTATTAAATAGAATGTAGTAATATGCAAATGTCATAGCTTCTCGGCCTTTTGGCTAAGATCAAGTGCAGTAATATGCAAATGTTAAAATGTGATGACTGTTTTAATCAGTTTGGATCGCTACCCAAATTGTCATAGACTGGCTGGCTTCAATAGCAGAAATCTATTTGTCACAATTCTGGAATTTTGAACCTTGTGATAAAAATATCAATATGGTTAATTTTTTCATTCCTGCTGTAGAGAGAGGTGTCTTCTCTTCGTATCCTCACCAGGGGAAAGAGAAATGCTCTACTGTTTTCATCTCCCTCTGAGGACACTAAACTTATTCATGTAGGCTTGATCCTCATGATTAAATGACCTCTCAAAAGCCTCATCTCCAAATATCACCACGTAGGGGACACTGGTTTCAGCATGAATTTTTAAGGAACAAAAATATTCAGCCATAATATTGACCAATAAACATATATTCCAGAAATACAGAGGTAGAGTAGCATTTGAGAATAAATTGACATAAATTACTATGTAAATGGAATAAAGGAGAAAAATAATTTTGAGTAGTGCAAAAAGTTTATTAAAAAACAAGTCAGTCTTATGAAAATCTTCTAGAAAATTAGCAATAATTTAAGATTTTACTATTGATCTAAAAAATGTGTGTGTGGGGGGGAGAGAGAGACAGAGAAAGAGAGAAACAGAACAAGAGAAAAAAAGAGATTGATTTAGAAAAAGGAGAATATAGAAGGAAAAATCTACAGGTGTGAGCACAATGAATGCTAAAATACTGAGATCCCTGCTCTTAAAATTAACTATAGAGCAAACTTCTACTTTTTCCATTTTTGTTTAACCTTGTACTGTATGATACTACAGAGCATAAAGAAAAGAAAAATATATATGTACAATATTTTGAAAGCAGGAAACAAAGCTTTCCTCGTTCCCAGGTGACATGATTCTTTATGAAGAAAATTGTAAAGAATCTATAAAAAACACAAAAACAGGGCCGGGGATTTAGCTCGGTGGTTCCAGTACCTGCCTCACCAGTGCAAGAACCTGAGTTTGATTCCCAGTACCAAAAAAAAAAAAAAACCCAAACACACAAAAACAAAAAGTATAGAACTAATGAATTTAGTGAACTCATGAGATCCCATGCAAAACTTAATTACTTTTAAAAACATATTCCTAGAAAAGGAGTAGGCAAATGAGATTTAAAAGTAGAATTTCATTTAAAATAATATGTTTCAGTGTGATTCAGCCATATACTGAAAATTTCATTTGATACATATATCTGACCTCTTTTTAGGCATGGCTGTAAAAACACATGAAATAAAAGCCAAGAGTCCCAACAGTCACTGAGAATTTAAATGTTTATAACTTACTCAAGCATATGCAAAGGGAGGTCATTTTTTGAGAGAGGATTTTAACCTAACAGAGAGAGAGAGAGAGAGGAGAGAGAGAGAGAGAAGGAGGAGGAGGAGGAGGAGGAGGAGGAGGAGAGAAAGAGGGAAGGGGAGGGGAGAAAAGAGGACAGAGAAAGAAAAGAAACAGCCTTGGTACTTTGTGAAATGACCACAGTAAAAAGTCTCCCTAATAACGTCAGATGGAGTGGGATGGAAACTATGTGACCTGCAGTAAAAGTATGTGCAGCATAAGGAATCACTCCTTCCAACCGGAGAGTGCAGCTGAGCATTTAATGGTTGTTAACCTGGCAGGTGTTTAAAAGTTCAGCCAAATGTTATTTGCTGAGCACAACTTAATTCTCTTTGTCTATGTAAAAATGTGAAATACGGATAAATTTATAAAAATATGCATCACTAATACACAGATATAAAATTTTGTTGAGAAAATTTAAAAAGACCTAAATAAATGAGGAAATAAACCATGTTTCTGAGTCAGAAGACAAATTATACAATGAACGTCTTTCAAATTGTTCTGACATAATAAAAATTCTGTTATAATTTCGGTTGGATTTTTTGGTAGAAATAACTTACAGTTGATAGAATGTAAATGGAAATGAAAATGATGGAGATCACTTAATGTGATTTTGAAAGAGAATAAAACTGAATCAACACTACCTGATTATAAAGTTGTAATAATCAAGACAGTGTGCTAATTTCAAAAATATATACCAGTAAGTAGATCCAGATTTATATGAATACCTTTTTATTTAAACTATAATACAAAGAGATTCTGTTTGTACAACACTATTATGAAAGCAATTTAAGTTTGGTCAGAATTTCTTGATAGAAATAGTGTTTCAATTTCATATTATGTGATTTATCTTTATTTATATGAAAGATGGTATACAGTTTGAAAATCCTCACCTTGCATAATTATGTTAAAATCATTTTAAGTTTCTCAACTCATTTTAGCTTAAAGGTAACTATACCTTCAATGCTTCATATGTTGTGAACCAAAGTTATTATTTCATCTTATAGCTTAAATAATTTACTTTTTTCGCAATTACAGTTCAAGCAAGTATCTGAAAAAAAGTGTAGAGATGGCTCTATTTCAGCATTTGGAGACAAATTTATTTTTCCAGTAGATTTATTTAAATGAATTTTAATCTCTATAAGCCAGTTGAAATAGAAGCTCTTTTATATTCAAGAGGCTTTAAATAAAATTAGCTTTTTCAAGAAATATGAGAAGATAATACCACATTTGTTTGTTTAAAAAGATCTTGTACTCACAATGGAAGATTTTATTAAATTTTCAAAAAGCTTATGAGATACTACAGTATTTATAGATGGAATCTTCCCTACTTCATTATGTGCTGTTTTCCTTAAATCATTTCCAGTCATATCATGAATTGAGCTGTGGGTAATTTTAAATCATATTATCATCTGGTGTACAACATATTAAAGTTTTCCTTAATATTGGCCTGTCTTATCCATGTACATTTTGTGGAAATTTTTTAATACTAGCTTTTAAAAGAAAGAAAATCCATAACTTAGAATCCACTCCAGGATTTTAAGGAGATGTACAGCTACACATAACCAGAAATCACACTTCTCAGTCAATCTGCATTCCCGTTCCAACTATTATTTATGTTCATTTATATAATTGTTATAAGAGGAATTCAAATTCTTTGCAATTACTCAATATTAGTGTCTGCTTGTTTGCATTTATATCTTATAGTGGATTCAAATGAGGTGAATTCATATAAGGAATGAGAATTAGAAATGCTTGTAACCAGGCTATTGCTATCTACAACAAAATTGTTCCAGTAGACTTGTATGTGAAAGTGTTCTTTGTGATGATTCCAGAGAGAAAAAAACAAGAGAAGAAAAGGTAATTATGGACATTTTTCCCAAAGATTTTGATTTAAAAAAATATGGAAAAATTATGCAATAGCTGGAAAGGACTGTGGGACTGATGGAGTTTTGTTTTTTAAAGGTAGATAAATTAGAGCTTATTGGTATGCTAATGCTGGGGTGTCCAGTTAGATACATAACAATTTATGATGGTCTAGATTATGGGGCAAGTTGCTAAACTACTGTGTCACATTTTCACCACAATTTCCATAAGATGATCATTTATACATTTTAGTAAAAGGTAGTTTTGAAGAATTTTCAAAGCAGTTAAAGGTTAAAAATTTGCCCAACAGCAACAAATCTTGTCAAAATGGTACAACACAGATAAGAGCTATATTTGAGTGAATAGAAACAATGTATCAGTAGACTGAATACATCTACAAATGAATTTCTTATTTATGTACATCTTATTTATACATGTGAGCATTTCTGAATATGAATATTTGTTTATGAGAAAGTGTATGTAGAAATATTAATAATTTGTATCAAAATGATGACATGTGAATGTAGTCTACATAATTCAATTTAATGTCATCCAATTAAATCATTATTTTATACAATTGATATTTTATTTTTAAAAGCTGTGGTACAATTACAATTATTTTCTCATTGTTAAATTTTTCATAAATGATGAATAAACAATTCTTTCAAATTACTTTGAACCACAAGAATTTATCATTTTATGCATTATAATACTTAAAAATCCCTTATAGGCTTGTTTTTGAGATACATAGAACCAAAAATGACTTTACACTTTGTTTAAATCCACACCAAATTTCTTAGTTAATATGGAAAAATTATTTAACTTATCTTCTAATTTATACTTCTTAAGTCTTATGCTTGAAAATAATTCTCCTCTGATCAAAAACAATTTATATAACTTTGATGAGTTGAATAGTGTGCACATTTTTTAAAAATGTAAAATAGTGGAGGAGTTATATTGTCTGGCTATGCAATTTTGTCCACTATTTGACAGTACAGCTATGAAAAGTAAGCATACATCTTTTAAGATATAGGAAAAAAAGTGTAGCAAATTTATGTCAATGCCAAAACATTTGGGTTTGAACACTTTCAGATAGATTTTCACCGAAAATGACAATAAACATTTTTTCTATTTTTATATTAAAATATGATAAACACATGTGAGTATGACAGTTCGGAAAAAGATAATATTTCATATAAAATATAAAGAAGAGCTTACAAGAATGATGGGAACAGTATTACTAGAAAAAAATATTAGGGAACATTTATAGTTTGGGGTGATTTGGAAGACTAGAGCATGAGATCCACTTGTGCCCTTTTACCACTCTGGTCAACATTATTCCAGAGGTGCTTAGCCAAACTCTAAGGGTTACCCTAGGTTGTGTGTGCCCCTTTATGCCTGTCTTATGTTCATCGAGATAGAGGGACTACCAAGTTTACTTTATTTACATTTTCTACAGTTTGTTGATTTCTTGAGCCTCACAGGCAAGGTAGTGATTATTTCCGCTTCAACCAACTAATGGTTTCTCTGCCTTCCAGTCTGGCTTTCTTCCAAACACCAATGTAATTATGTTATCCGTCACCTTAAATATCTCTCTTGGCATGCTGAGAGCTTTCAGGCAAAAAGGTCACACTTTTGTTTGGCATATTAGACCTCCACAAACTGCCAACAATTACGTTCTTGCTGTCTCTGCAACCAATCTGTCTGCATGTTTCAATAACCCTCTTAGAGCTGCTTATCCTCGCTTAGGATTGTATGTTTCAATGTGGTCTTCATACTGCCTCAAACGACTTTTCTCTTCTTAGCAAAAAATTTATTTTTCTTTTAAGATCACATGGCATCTGTAATTTTCCCTGAATCTCCATCGTGATTCTTTCTTACTTCTGTATGTCCCTGAACCACTTGATATTTCTTGTTGCTTGCCACTAAAGTATGTTCAGTTATTCTCTTATTTACTCTAAGATTCATACAGAAAAATTAGTTTACACAAATTTCTCACATATAGCAAACAAATCAGTTTTATCCTTGTTTCTTTATATATTTGAATATCATTTTCAAATAAATGTTATTAAATCTTATTCATTTTAAAAAGTTTTAAGTTTTATTAATACTTGTTTACCATACATGATTATACTCATTGTAGAGAATTAGTAAATGTACGTAGTGCATCTCAATCCTTTTCTCCCTTCCGTCAAACTCCCTTTTATTTTGCAAGGGTCAGATTAATTTATTTATTAACTAACATTGTTTATTTTAATTTCATATAACTCCTTATAAAGTTAAGTATCATACATATAGATTAACAACCAGGCAACCAAAACACATAAAACATTATTCTTTATTCTTAATATTTAAATTAATGAATGAAAATCACAAAGGATAAAATTGGTACTATATGAGAATCATTCATACCTTTCCCACTTATTTTCAAAACTACTTGATAAGAAAAACCTTTGATCCAAACATTTAACTTTGGCCATCCTTTTCTTTTATACCAGCAGTAAGTCAGCCGTGATTCAAGGTTTCATCAATTGGTTCCAGCACAACTAAAATAGCTTTTCCATTTACTGTAGCTCATTAAAAGATTATCCAATATAAATGACTTATAGAAACATTTTATTTTATACTTACTGTTGTGGATCAGGAAGGCTTTGTTGGGCAGGTTTTGTGTGGAATGCATTTGTAATTAGATGTTGTATTCCTCTCAAAGTCCTACTGGGCTCCAGCAAAGTGCTCTCAGCCATGATAACTGGATTCTCTTTTGTGGAATTCCCTAGAAAACAACTGGGGGAAGGTTTATGGTTTTTGAGATCTATCATAGTTTTTACTTTGTTAAGTTGCACCTTATTATCTTGGTGACAAAGTCAGTAAATTCAACCTACATTCAAGGGCAAAAAATACAGAAATCATCACTGGTTGGAATGAAGACCACCAATTTATGAATAAGTACCTCTACATTGTCCGTGTCAGTTCCAGAATTTTTCTCAGTATTATAGTTCAGATGAGTAGCTTTAATTTTTTTCTTTTAAACATAGAATTTGTTTAAATATTTGTTGAAAATAACATCTAAAATTTTAAAATGCATAAAACACAAAGAATGTAAATGTCATATAGTATACAACTGGGAATTGAACTCCTACAATTGATGTTCTATGCAATTTTCTATACTTGCTGTGTTTTTTATAAGAAAAATATGTACAATATGTATGACTGTTTTCAAAAATTTTACTGTTTTTCATCACAGTGACATAAATATATTTTTACATTTTCTTATACATGTGTTTCTTTGTGTGTAAGACTTGATTAATGTTGTTGCCAGCATTCAAAGTATTTTTACCTGATTTTCTTTAGGAAGTTATCTATGCTGGTAATTTCACTCTTATTTACATATTCTCTGCTTATTGAGTAAAAGTTCTACAACATATTCTTCCATAATATGACCATACTGTTATTAGTTTAATTCTCCTTTCTTCATGAATTTTTTTCTGCTGTCACAAACTATACTACAATGACAATGATATACATATTATATATCACATAATGTGTATAAATTTATATATGATATATATAATGTATACACACATATATACATAACTATACACATATACACACCTATTAATGGAATTATCAGGTAGGATAAAATGTTTATCGTCATTATTACCAGATTTGACAAATTATTTTTTAATTAATGTTCCTATTTATACCCATATTAGGCATTATAGTTTTTATTCTTCTACATCTTTACTTATTTTCAAATTTTAAAATGTTTGCCTTTATTATGAGTATAAAAGGTTATTTTTATATTTATTTGATTCCATGGAAAATTTAAATCTTTTTATGAATCTACTACCAGCTTAGTTTCTTCATCTTCAAACTGCTGTTTTCATGACTGTTGCTCCTCCATCTCTTTCTTTATCTTTGCCAAATGGACTAAAAATCTCTTTTTCTCCCATTATATGTGCCTTGTTTTTTTTCACTTTAAAAAATATTTTTACAGAAATTATCAATTTTTCTGTTGTCCAATTAATTTTATTATTTGATTTATGCTTTTTGAGTATTATTTAAGAAATCATTTATTGCCTTGCTTTCTGAAGATATTTCAATCTACACTTTATATAAATTGTTTAACATAATGCTTCTCTCTAATTTTTGTGTGCTTTTTAAATTATTTAATCTTTATGTTTTTAATCTCGGTATACATATTTAGTTTTATTGTTTTTTCCTTTCTATTGATTTTTAATCTTCTCAGACACACAACGGTCAAAGAAAACAGCTAGCTTTCGAATATGAACTGTTTTTACATCTATGCTATAAATATTTCTTATTGTGGCATAAATTCTATTATTAAATTTAATTTAATTAAGTTTTATTTACAGAATAAAGAAAATATCTAAGCAAAATAATTGTTTTTTGTTACTACTGCTATTGAGATCAAATCAAGCAATCTTCATATAACTAAAAAACACACGTCTGTATGTATATTGCATATGCAATCTATTAAAAGTGGATATATTTAGGCAATTTTTATATTAATATTGCTTTCATGTGTCATAAAACAAGCATTTCAAATCTCATTGTGGTGCCATATAAGGGCAGAATTTTTATGTAACATTATTGTAGGTGAAGTATATCTTTCTCCACAAGTGGGCCTAAATCACCTCTTCTAACTTCACTATACTGAGCGTGACATAAAATAATGCATAGTTACTAACATGAACATTAGTTATTTGATAAAATCAGTCTGGAAGACAGAGTGTGGCCTTATAATACATTTTAGACAATGACAAAATCAAGTTTATGGTTTTGCCATGTATAGGCATCACTGAGTAATATATAATGGTTTTGCAAACAAATATACTGTTCACAAAAAATAAGTTTATTTTTGTTTTTGAATTCTGATTTTATCTTCCTAATGCAAACTTTTGATTACATCATTCCAATATTCAGCTAATCTATTTTATGCAAACATTCATAAGGTAAAATGTTATATTATTGTTCAAGCTTTTCAAATAAATATGAATTTTATGAAAAAGTGAAGAATGTTGAAGCATGAATATTTCTGAAATCAACAATAGACTATTCATAGAATTGGGCAAAGTATTTCAAAATAATCAAAGCTGACATAATGGGATAACATGCATACATACTGAACAAATATGAAGTTACTTCACATAACACCTATTCAGAAGCATCCTGATAGAAAACATCATTCTGAGTGAGGATTGTCTGTCATATGTTAGAGTCCCAAATATCTGCAGAAAAGTAAATAATTGTTTTCTTAGTATAACATTTCAAATTGTATTCAAAATTTAATAAATCATCACTGTTTTACTATATATAGTTTAACAGGACATCTGTAATACAATCTGCCTTTTAAAAATTATTTATAAAATGTGCTTTCAAAATAAGTGCAACATGAGTTTAATAATAAAAAATGTAAATATTCCAAATGAATGTATCATAAGTATACATTTGGCAGTGTAGCTGAAGATTTTTCAGTGGAGAGATTATAAGCAAAATCCACAGATCAATATCAATACTTCTCAAGTAGTAACTTTTATAATAAATTGAAAATTAGGCCAAGTAAAACATAAAACATGAGAAACAATAGATTTCTTTTAGAAAAATATTGAAGACAATGCCTTTTTATACTGATACCGTCCCAAAGTCTACGATGTGATTTTCTCTTTATTATTGACATTAATATAAAAAATCAAATGCAAACTTTAGGAAATCTTTTTTTTCTTTTTTTTCTTTTGGTACCAGGGATCAAACTCAGGCCCTTCTGCTACTTTAATAAATCTTAAAAGCAACCTCTACTCCTTTTTCCTGATTCTAAAATCTGTTAAATAATAATATAGATTTTGCTAATCACATATCTGTGATTACTCTTTGGAATACTACATCAGTGTACATATGAACATATGCAAGGTATGTATGAGATGGATATGCAGTGATAAGAGACTTTTACAGCCAGATTTCTGAAACTTCCTATAATGCATGGATAGAGATTAAAAGATAACCTACAGGGCCACAAATCCATATAGGATCAAATTACACTGCCTTAAGTGAATGCTCTGGCCCTCTCCTCCCATACTTCAATTTATCACATAGATTGGCCCTAAGTTCAAGCATGTAACAGATCACCCTGACCTTCCCGTGACCCCTACATGAATTCCTCGACTGATAATCTTCTTTTGGCCTTTAACCTTGCTTCCCGCTTCAACTAAGAAAAAGCAACAGAAGCTTCAGTTTGGGGTTATCTTTATGAGACTCTCTCACACTGAGGGAGTCTAAGTTAAGGGTAGTCCCTCTGGGCCTTCTTCTAGTTTGAATTGGCCAACAACCTCAAGTAATCTCTTGTCATTTGCACCACGCCATGGTCATTAACTGTGATGGACATATGCCTAAATGGTTTATCATTCTTACGTATCTAATTATAATACTGTCATTCTTAACTGGCTATATGTTCAGCTCTGTTAGAAAACATACATGCATGGGAAGACAGATGGCTTCCTGATTTCTGGCCAGTGCTGCAGTTTGCAGCATGACTGTCTTACACCCACGTCAAAAGCTTGGATTATAAATTCACCTTCTCTATTTGCTGCCAAACCAATTTATACGTATGATGATCTAGTTTGTTACAAATTTTAAGTTGTTGAGGTCTTGATGTTTCTGTGTTAAAAAGTTTGAAGTTTTCTTTGATAATTTATATTTTCAATTGGTTCAAAGGGGATGTTTGCAGTTTATGCATAGAAAACATTTTCACCCACAAAATCAGAATCAACATTGTCCTTGAATGAATTAGTTTTATCAATAATTATTGTGATCAAACCAGTAAGTGTTCTTTAATCCATTTTGATTTTAGTTTAGTGCAGTGAGAGATATAGGTCTAGTTGTAATCTTTGGCAAGTTGAAGCCCTATTTTTCCAGCACCATTTATTAAAGGGGCTACCTTTCCTCCAGAGAGGGTGTTTGGCTCCTTTATCGAAGATGAGATGGCTGAGTGTGTCTGGCGTTGTTTCTGCATCTTCTAATCTGTTCCACTGGTCCTCGGGTCTGTTTCTTTGCCAGTACCATGCTGTTTTTATCACAGGAGCTTTGCAGTAGAGTTGCAGGTTGGGGATTGTGATGCCCCCTGCCATGTCTCTGTGACCTAGAATTGATCTAAATATTAAAATAGAAACTCTGAACCAGTTGAAACAGACATTAGGTAGAAACCTTGAAGACATCGGTGTAGGAAAAGATTTTATGAACAAAACCTCAGTTGCCCATGAACTGGCACAAACAATCAACAAGTGCCATCTCTTCTTATTAAAAGGCTTCTGCACAGCAAGACAAACCACCAGCAGTGTGAAGAGACAACCCACAATGTGGGAAAAAATCTTCACCTGCTCTTCCTCAGACAAAAGTCTACTATCTCAAATCTATAAAGAACTTAAAAAGATCAGAACTCCAAAATTTAAAGACCCAATCTGAAAGTGGGCATCTGAAATAAACAGATATTTCTCAGACAAAGAAGTAGAAATAGCAAATAAATACATGAAATAATGTTCAACATCACTGGTCATTCGAGAGATGCAAATGAAAACAACGGTGAGATGCCATTTCACTCCAGAAAGAATGGTTGCTCTCATGAAATCAACCAGTAACAAATGCTGGTGGGGCTGTGGGGAAAGAGGAACCCTGCTCCACCGCTGGTGGGAGTGTAGACTGGTGCAACCACTGTGCAAATCAGTATGGAGATACCTCAAAGAACTAGGACTGGAAGTTCCATTTGACTATTCCACTACTGGGGATCTTCCCCAAGGAATTAAAAGAATCATACCACAGTGATATATGTGTGTCCATGTTCATAGCAGCACAATTTGTGATAGCTGAAACTTGGAAACAGCTCAAATGCCCATCAACTGGAGACTGGATAAAGAAAATGTGGGTTTTTTTTTTATAAAATGGAGTACTACTCAGCCATAAAAAATGAGAAATTAGAGACATTTATAGCTAAGTGGATGCACATTGAGGCAATACTCTTAAGTGAAATAAATAGGACACACATGTATAAATACCGAATAGTTTATCTGGTGTGAGAAACTGAAAGTGTAAATAAGGACTAAATGTATAATAGGTAATGTGAAATAGGAAGAAAAGGGGCAAAGGGGAAGGAAGTGCGAGGGCTAGGGGAAAGGATAGAAGGGAATGGGATTAATATGAGAAAATGGAAAAATAGGAACAAAATCTTTGTAAATAGAGAGGACTGGAGGGGTTCAAGGGAGGGCTGGGCAAGGGTGAAAAATAAGAACCAAAAGAGACTATGTAAAGGTGCAAATTTCCAATGATGAATGCCATTATATTGTATACCTAAAATGTACCAATAATTAGAATGAATAATCGATAATGCAAAGCAGGGAGAAAAGGTCCAAAGGGGTAGGTGCGGTGGGAGGGGTAGGGGAAAGGAAAGAAGGGAAAGGAAAAATGCTGAGAAATGGAAAAAATGGAAATAAAGTCTTTGTAAATAGGGAAGGGTGGAGGGGGTGAAGGGAGGGCTAGGAAAGGGGAAAAATAAGAACCAAGATCCATTATGTAAAGGTACAGTTCCCAATGAGAAATGTAATTGTGTTGTATACCTACAATGTACCAATAAAAGGATTAAAAAAAAAAACAAACAGTGTTTTAGGATATACTCATGTTAGACAGAGTGTGTGTGCATGCATGTGTGTGTGTGTGTGTGTGTGTGTGTGTGTATGTATGCATGTTTTGGTGCTAGGGATTAAATCCAGGCCTTTGCAGATGCTATGTAAGAAATCTACCACTAAGCTATATCCACATCCCCAGATGCAGAGGACTGTAATATTGATGATGCCCAAGGCAGGCTGTGAAGTGTTAACCCCACAATTGTCTTGTTTATAGAAGTGAGTCTGGCGGATGCCTAAGTCCCGAAGTCAGAGTAACTCACACCCAAATTCTGCTCCCATAACTAAAACCTTCAGACTAGAAAAACAGTGTTCTAATTACAATAATATACGTTGTCTATTTTGTTCTTAGAGAATGCTTTGCCTTGTCCTTTATGAGCCTTGTTTACATTAATTCCCATAGAAACTGCACTAGCTTGCCTTTACCCCAATTGATTCCCATTAAAAGTCAGTGCCTGGGACTGACTGAACTTTGTGACTTGCACTGGCATTGGTTGTCCTGGTACCCTGCTTTCTCTCTCTTAGTGTATTTTTTTTTCTCAGGCCAGCGTCGCACACTGGGCAGGTGGGGACTAGAGATTTGCTGCTGGAGTCTCTGGCACCCAGTTGTGTTGAGTTACATAAACAAGTCACAATTACATTTCTTTATTCCTCTTCCATAATATTATCTAGTTCTATAAATAAAGGAGGTCAGAAATAAATGTTCTTACTGCACTTATCCAGTTGAAATGAATTCCTGTTTTAAAGATCTTCAACACCAACCATGCTTAGACCAGAAAATTGCTTTTGTGTGGTGAGAATATCATATGATTTGTCTTTATGTAAATTCTCAATACATTATATGGGTCAAATAATTTTTATATTGAATGAATAATAAACTCAAAGTGAAAAGCACAGAATTCTGATTCAATATATTTTATCCTGTGTTTTCCCTTATCTTTAGGGTTTCAAAACCTGGTTATAGCAACATGTTTTTACATACCCACTTTAAAAGTGAAAATCTAGTTTTATAAAAATGACACTCAAAATGATTAATGATATGTGATTATTTTGTATCCAATGACTTAATTGTATTTATATTTATGTATTATATTTTATTAATATATTTATATATGAATTGGCTAACATAATAATTTTATATAAATTATTGAAAATTTTATTGAAGTTAAATAGCTAATTAAAATAAGAATCACAAGACATTTTATTAATTAAGCTTTGTTTCAAACAAATTGTGTATTATTCTCTGGAGCCTTTATATACATAAAGACAATATTTATGTACATTCTTTTAAAAAAATTTAGTGCCACATGGACAGTGCCATATGCACAATGATAAAATTTCTTAATTATGAAAACAAGTTTAAAATTGTGCTGAAGTTTATTTCCAAAGCCAAAATAACACAAAGATCACTTGAAGAATATAAATTTTAATAACATACTAGAAGTGGTAAATTTATGAAAACCTTTATCTAAATGTAGACAGACTTGTTTTTCTCTAAATAAATATTTCTGACTCCCCCTATAAAGATCATTGC